TAAACTTGAAATGGAATCATAGTTATTAAATCAATTTGGGTTTCGACTAAATCATACCCAAGATTTAATCGAGAAATTGGATGTCGAAAGGATTTTACATGTATGGACTTGTAATCGAAAAGGTTTACTCGCTATTCACTTAATACTAGATTCATGCTACTTGCTAGATGTTCCCATGATATGTGGGTTCTTGAATTAAGGAGTTAATTCAAAGAATAAGAATTAATTTGATTAATTCAAATTACAAGGAGTTGTAAACCCACTACTAGTATTAATAGTGAACCTAAAAATGTCACACCCAATTTTGAATGTAGATTATTTGTAATTAGTATTTCTAAAGAGTTAGAATTAATTGACAAGTATTAATTAAATAATTTAATTATTTAATTAATTCTAATTTGATTAGATATCAATTAAAGGAATATACTAAATTAATTAATTTGATTGATTAATTATATTTTGGATATTAATTAAGTAATTAATGAAATTACTAAATTAATAGTTGAATTTTAAAATTAGATTTTAAAATTCAAATCCATATTGTAATATGATTATAATAAGAGGAGATTTTATAAATATGTGAAATAATATATTTTGATTAATTTTTATCAAAGATTAAAATAATAAATAAAATATTATTAGATGGGATCTAATGACATTTTTTTATTAAAATCATTTCAGATCTCGATGCCATCTAATTTGAATAAAATAATGATTTCAAAAATACAATATGACATCTTGTGATCTAAATGTTTTAGTATAAATTGGTGTACATATGTGATGTACAAATGACACACTTGTATTAACAAGACAATTGAGAGAGAAAAATCACAAGAGTTGTAAATCAAGAAGTGTTCTTGAACTTAGAGAATTATTTCCATATCAAGAATAGTTCTTGAAAATTTTAATAAAGATTAAAATTATAATCTCCTCTAAAATAAATATTTCGATACTAATTGAACAAATCGAGAAGTTTCTACTAGCGAAGAAACTAGTTCTCGAGATTGAATTACAAAAGGGTTGATACTTTTAGAGGGGAGACACTTGGATCCCTCGGGTGAGTAACAAGAGACGGTGAAAGTCACATACAACCGGGAATTGATTTCCTCAATCATCGTCGTATAAAGAAGGAGTTCAAGATAAAAGGTAATTTTCGAAATTACTTATTACAAATCAAAATTCGTATTTATACGTGATTTTAAAAGATGCCGATCGTAACAATCGATATTTGAACCGAGAGGTTTAGTATTTATTAGATAAATGCTTATTTATTTTGTTTTATTTCCGCTGCGTTTTATCCCGTATGCTATAGCGAACTCAACAAGTTTATGGCCCGTTGACCACGGGCTATATAGGGTCGGGCTGGGGCCAAGACTAACTAGTAACTACATCACAGACTCAGTCCATTTAGATTCTCTTTTGCTGTGCAAAAATTTGGCCAAAAGTTTACTCCATTTCGTGCTCCCCCCACTAAGTCATTTTTTGTGGTGATGAATCAGTTGCAAAAATTAAGGTGGTCCCTTTTTTGTGAAAATGATGATTTTTTTTTACAAATATTCTCTTATTTGTACAATACAATACAACTAGTGCGTAAACCGTGCGATGCACTGGCTGTATTTATTTATGAGATTTTATAAATTAAAGGCTATTCGACAATAAAAGTTATCATACACAGCACAGTTATTCAATTATAAAAGGTTCAAGATAAAAAATATATATAGTATTGAAAACTCATTGTACACAACATTATTAGTTAGATTCTTGGAGAATTCGTCACTCCCACAAACTAATGTTTTCAACACCTTTCATCTATCGAAATGATTGTTTATTTGTACAGTTTTATTAAAAGTAACTGCAACATATTTGTATTAAATAAAGCAAGGTTTATTTTATGATTTTAAATATAAAAATTTAGATATATTAAAAAATTATTTTTAAAATGGATAGTACAAATTATTTAAACAGTGATAGTACCTTGCGGTTGTTCAGTGATATATTGGTGTTATCTTGTTAAAGCACTGTCAAAACGGGCCATGGCCCGTGGGCTGGCCCGTCCGTCCGCTTAAATGGACGGGCCTTGGGCCTTTGCTTGGCCAGCCCGTTCAATCGTGGACCTATTTGGCCCGCCTCATTCGGCCCGCGGTCTAAAGCGGGCTGGGGTGGTCCAACCCGCGGTCCAGCTCGTTTTTTTATTATTTATTTATTATTAATTTTATATTATTTAAATTTAGTATTTCTTATTTTACTTCTAAATTCTAAGTTTGGTACTAGTTATTTTGTTGTCGGACTTTGATTGTTTGAATTTTACTCTGAACATGATCTCCTATGGAAATTTGAATGTTTGTTTATTAGTAATTACTATTGATGGACTTATTTATTTTGTTGGATTTTGTCTTTATCGTCCTTTTTTTTTCTTCTTTTTCTTCTTCCATATTTATTTATTTTATATTTTTTAAAATTTGACAATGATATTAAGATTTGTGAATGCACATGAAACACTTTTTTACATAATAAAAATATTGATGAATCAAATAATATTTTATGTGAATTAAGTCTCTCCTCCGCATGAATACCCTATAACTATTCATCAAAAAAATAAAAATAAAAACTGGATGACAAATATTTAACATCATACACATGAAGCCTTACTAGTTTATTAATATACTAGTAAATATAAGGATAAACAAACAAAAAAGTATATAAGAGTGCATAATACCAAAAAACCCGCGGGGGGTCGATTTGGCCTGCGGGCTAATGAGGGCGGGCCACGGGCCATGGATTTTCCAGCCCGTAGAAATGCGGGCCATTTTGGCCCGTCCCGTTTGAACCGCGGGCCCGTGCGGGCCGGAGCGGGCCGGACTGGATCGGCCCGTTTGACACTGCTACTTGTTATTAACTTGATGTAACTTAGTTATAGAATCTGTATTTGCTTATTCTAATTATATGACATGCATATATGTATATGTATTCGTCAATAAGTTAAAACTATTCTATTGCTTAGACATCAACTTCCAAATTTTATAAACAAACTAATATCCAAATTTAATAAGTATTAAAAGCAAGCGTAATTGGCATCTGCCAATATTATTCAATCAAACTACTTATTAAAAAAATAAATTCAAGTAATATTCTACTATAAAAAATGACCTAATAGCTTTAATCTGTATCGAAAGTATCCTTCATTTGACCATCATGCTCGTCGACCTTTGCCCTTCCCATTAAGTCAGTGGCAGATTGAACCGCAAATCTAGGCTCATCATTGAAGAATTCCATTAGGTTGCGTTTTGCATTATAAGTGTCACCAAGTACTCTTTCGCTATTTTTTATAACTTTCAATAGGTGAAACCTCTTCTTATCCGATCAAGCCCAATAAGAAATTTTAGATAGTATAATAAATTGTAAGTAGCATAAAAATAACTTCATTGATAAAAATTGCGTCTAATATTAATAAAAGAAAATGGCTAAGAAAAAAAATTGATAATATACCTTTCCATCTTGTATGATGAATATTTAGATGTCTTTAAGAAGAGCGCACGATTCAAAAATTGATCTCTGTTGGTCTTAGTGATATGCTTGATATATACCCCACAACATAGTCATTTTTTGTTTTATTTTTTTTCTTCTTTCTGCTGATATTAGATCACTGTGTTATGATAGTGAATTAGAAAATCGAAGGGAACAATTCTTTTATAGACAAATATAAATGATATAGACGTTTAAGATGATAAGGTGATAACGCAATATTATGATTCATACGTTCAACTTGATAAGATAGAATAAAAAATATTTAAAATTTGAAATTTTGGGTTGTTTTGTCCATTTTTTAGGTGTGTAAGGCGTTCAAAATGATAAGATTGTTTTTTGCATTCTATTATTCCGCAAATTTGGGTTATGAAAATTGAGATTAATGAACAATGTTTATCACATGGATTTAAAAAAGATAAAAAATTATGAGTATATGTATATATTTAAAAATGGGAGCTTGATATATATGAATGAATAGCAGAAAAAATATTTAAAAAATGCACTCTTAGTTTATTCATGACTCCATTAAACAGGGTCCATAATTACTAAAATATAAAATAGAGATATTTCTATTATTTTGATCTTACATATGCAAATACAAAATAGATGTATTTCTATTATTTCAATCTCAAATATGTAAAGAAACTGACACAATATGTATCAAGTTAATTAAATGAAGTCCATACTTAAAAAATGCTAAATCAGGATTTTTATGTTATTTTGAGTCTAAAATCATAAAGAATTTGAAGCCAACACGTATCAAGTTAATTAAATTTTGCTATTTCGTGTTAAATTTGCTAAAGAATTTTAAGTCAGTACATATCAAGTTTGGATTAAGATTAAAGCCAACATGTATCAAGTTAATTAAATTTTGCTATATCGTGTGAAATTTGCTAAAGAATTTTAAGCCATTACATATCAAGTTTGGATTGATATCGATGCAATAGGAAACTAATTTGAAAGAAAAAAAAAAATGAATATAATTTATTTAGGATAAAATTGTGTTTTCAAAATTATAATTATTTTAGTATCGTAATGCATGTATATGTATCCCTTTTATATTCCTTTTATATCTTAAGAATCAGTTTTTGAAATTAAAGGAATACAATGGATTTTATTTTTCGAATTTTTATGCCTTCTTTTTTAGGAAGTCCAAAATTATTTTGCTCATGACTGGCAAAAGACCCAAATTACTATTCACAATCTGCTCAAAAGTACCAGTTAACATGTAAAAAAAACATAAACTGTGATTACCAACCAACCTCTTTATGCCATTATTTACAACAAAAACATAAGAACTTAACATAGTAACTTACAAATCTCTGTTATGTGGATTATCTTCATGTGAGATCATCAGATACATACATGTTCTTCATCCATTTGCTCGACCATTTTGCTATATGCATAGTGATAGTGCTACCAAAATCTGTCTCTGTTCATGCTCAAGTAATCGGATATGACTTTCCCACCGTGCTTCACATCCCATCTATCAGAAAGCACCACGTTGAACCCAATGCACCTATGAAGAAATCAGCCTCTGTCGCCATCAAGAAGTTCACAAGTGGGTAATTACTACTCGTCTCCGACCGAGGCTCGATTCGTAAGTTGCCATCAACATGTTCCCCGTTTATCGCCTCACGTTCGTGTAGTAAAATTTCTGGTGCCACTCATAGGATTTAGATCTATCAATCACATCCTGATGAACTTCAATGAGTCAGATCCAATTTTTTAATCAACAGATAATTAATTTTATCTCGGATTCCAAAACAAAAAAAGTTACGAATTTTACGCGACCTGCATTTCGGTAGAAAGCCACACATTCTTGAAGTGCGGGAAGCGCGCCCGGACTTTGTTCGCCAAACGCATTATTCTTCAAATCCGAAAAGGTCATCTCACACGGCTTGTCTCCCATCTTGACGTGCATGCTCAACAACGGCTGAGGGACCCAGAGGTTGTGATTAGACCACAAGAATTTTTCCATATCATGCTCAGTTCTTCTCAGATTCTGCAAATAATAGATATAACACAACAAATAATAACCAAACATATTTTTGTCATATATCCAAGATTAAGTTGATCAGCAGTTGGAGCTATGTGTATCTTAATAAGCCAAAATTCAAATTAAATGCAATAATGGTGAGCTAAACCTCGGAGGATAACTCGTGAACCATTTTTGCAGCTTCACGTCCAAAGGCACTGTGGCGGACCTTGTTCATAATGCCGCACGTGTACTCGTTCTGAAACCTCATCAGGTACCGTATAGCCTAAAGCAGATGATATAGATTTATTTTCACTCATTTTTGTCCTTTTTTTTTAATAAGAAACTCGAACCTTTATCAATAAAGTCGCACTTCACCTGAGCTTACCACCATCTACGATCCATTTTCCGATGACGAACAGTTAAGGTCCTGTTAATCTCGGTGGTTGGTTCCATGCTACTCCAAGGACTACCCCATACCCTGAAAAAGTGTCACTACATTTTGTCACGACGTATATCCCTTTTAAGAAAGATTTATCTACTCACGTAAAATGTTAATCATACCTAGGTATCCTCCCGGACCATATGTCTTTTGAAGTATAGTTCTATTTTCCTGTAATAACACCTGTCTACCATGCTGCCTTGTCGTGCACAAGCTCGTAGGCTTGTTTTCTGCACTCGAGTGAGGTCTGGAAAAAGTAACAGGACCAACTCGAAAGTGATGACCCTAGAGAGAGAGAGAGAGAGAGAGAGACGTAAAAAAAAAGAAAAAAAAAGCAGTTCGAATAACTTAAGTCGTTCAACTCAGAAAATGCAATTTAAATACTTTGAACAAAATGTGACACTAATATACTACCTTTGCAACCGTCATGATCGGCTCTGTTATAGTAACCGGTAAATAAAACCCTCTTCTCGTTTATTGCAATAGCAAGTAGACCACACATTCTGGCTAGTTGTGATCCAATACCAATCCAGGTAATTTTTCCCAGTCGGCCACTAAAAACTTCACGCCAACAACACTCCAAATTCACGCCGACAACACTCCAACTTCACGCCAACAACACTCCACTCTCAAAGAACTCCACTTCAAACACCTCTCACCATAGAAAAGGAGAGAAAAAAAAGACTAAGAAATTATTGTTGGAATATTTTTACAGAACAATATACATTAGTAGCAAGAATATTTTTCACCCATCACCTGAATCAATCCATGCTTACATGATTAACATATTTTGGGATACAGAAATAAACCAATTTTTTTTTAACAATAGCAAAATCACAAAGAGGAGCTAAAAGACGAACTGAATTTCACCTTATCAAAGTTATCTCCCACTCAAAATCATTCTTCAAACCAATTAAGATAACTGTGGATTAGCAGCAAGAATCAAATCATGACCAACATTAACAAATTCTAGTGACAATTGAACAATTATAAAACCCACTAATTGTCACAACATAACATAATATATAAACACAAAATCCATATATTTATATGGTAATTCAACAAATACTCAGGAACAATGGTCTTTTATAGTTGATAGTATGTGAAGAGACAAAATAGAGTTGAACTTGTCTAACAACAAAGAAACCAAAGACATAGGGCAAAACATAAACCTATTAGTCTTCAAGTTTTGAATCTTAGGCAGCGACCCCACCGAGAACTCATGTGTAATTGAACGACGACCCTGAGAAGATAAAAAAATTGGGTAGGATCTGAAAACAACATATTTTACAGGAATGTAATGTTTATCAGAAAACAAATAACGAAATACTAATAGGTTCAATATCTGCTAAACATTAAAGGGTGAACTGGAAAAGTTAAAAGAGAGTAAAAAAAACACAGCAAAAACACCAGCAGAATCGACGTCGTTTGGGTTCCCCTTCTACAGTCCACCCTGTGCAAACCGTGGCTGCTCTCGGCTAATTTTTTCACTTCACTTTTCCACCTCGACAAATTACAGGGAACATCTGTTGGTGGGCCCACGTTAGATCAAGAAATTGTAAATGATGGGATGAGAAATGGTGTTCAATGGTCTGGCCTAGTTTGTTATTCCGAGCCGTTTGGGGCTGGCGGCCCGCTTGCGGAGGCCTTGGGACAGAACCCGACTTCGCCTCACGATTCTGTTAATGGGACCGGGACAGCTGTGTCTTCTCCTTCTGGGGTTATTCAGAGGACTTTGTTTCCTCAATCTGATGGTAGCATTTGCAATAGCCTGTCGGAACTTGGGTTGCTGAGGATAAAGTAGAATGAATTTTTTAAAGAAAAAAAAAAAGAAAAAAAGGAAAAAAGATCAGTTCTTGAACTTGGTTTCTTGATTTATGAGAGGGATTGAAACCCTAATTCGCAGTTCAAAAATACTCGAGAAACTCAGATCATCCACGCTCGCAAGGTACACTCTGCATCTGTCTCTCTCGCTCTCAAGGGACTCGAATTTGAATTCATTTTTCTTTTAGAAGAATCTCTGCTTGAATCAATTTCGAATCCGGATCAAATCAGATCAGATGACGCGTGAAAATATTGGCAAATAATATGGAGGTATCTATTTGATTCCTAAAAATCAGGAAATAAAATTGACGTGTGAATATGGAGGTATTTATATGATTGCCTAAAAAACAGGTATGCAATCGGAATGTATAGCAATTAACAGATATGTATGCCTTAGAGCATCCACAATACTTTGGGTCTCTTTTTGTATATGTGGCGTATAATTGGACTTGAGTCTTAAATGACGTGGACAAACTCAAGTAAAAAACTTCAATAACTTTGCAATGCAAAAATAAAAATACTAGGTCTAGCATATATGTCAACCAATAAAAATGATCTAATATGTTTTTTTTATTAAAAGAAAAATTAAAGTAGGAATAAATAATTAGTGTTGGGTTTGTACTTGGGTCCAAAATAGACCCAAGTGTGGACTTAGTCTTTTTTTTTATTGCCACATAAGCTAGACCATGTCCACTTTTAATTGCATTGGGAAACATTTTTTCATAGACTAGGTCTATTTCTTACATGGCATGTGATTTTTTGTCAAGAGACCCAAAGCATTGTGGATGCTCTTAATAAACGGCTAGGTAACCTTTTTTGGAATGATTCAAAACAAAAATAAAATAAAGATAATGTTTAATAATTTTTGGAATTTATAATTGGTTTCCACAAATGGGAAGTCAATGGTTGTTGACCAGCTTTTTAAAAGTTTCCACAAATGATTTATTGACCTCTCTGTTTCAATATATACAGATACATGTCTATTACACATGTGTTTGTTAAACAATTTATATTAAAATTAAAACTGATAATAAAAAAGTTGTTTTATTTTTCAAATAATTTTTTGAATAACTCTATTACTATTTATATTTTAAAATAATATTCATCACTTATACGATTTACCATCTTATATTATAATAATTATTATATCATATCACTTAACAACTTTACATTTAAATTAATTTAAATAATTTTATTTTTTAATTAATATTAGTAGGTAATTTAGTTTTATTATAAAGATAAATATAATTATTTTATTAATTTTGTATGTGTAATATATGTATCAAATTTAAAATCACCAAGATATGATTAATTTGATATATTATGCATAAAAAATTGATAATAAATAAAAATTTATTAACTTTTAAGAAATTATAATTTAAGTTAGCAAATTTTACACAATTTTAAAAGAAAGATGAAAAAAAGAAAGATTGAGGAAAAAATTATATGTCTTATATATCACGTCTAGAATAGGAAATTTAACATAATTAATGTTCTTAAAAATGTGTATAAATATCTAATATATTTATGACTATTCCAAACGTAATTATTTTATGATTGAGAGTAAATTAAAATCCATCACAACCAAATGTCAAAGAATGAAAATATGACACATAAGATTCCGAAACATGCGACTCTATCACTTATGGCATGATTGGTATGTGTTAGAGTAGGGTACCCGGCGTTCCAATCTGATTGGACGTATTCTACTTGTAAATACGATCTATTGGAATTATATTGTAAATAAGGCATTACTTTATCTTAAGAGTAAGCATTTATCTTATATTTGCACTTAAGATAAAATCCCTAGATCACTTATGGTTATATAGTATGGTTGCGCATAGAGATGGTGATCATGGAACATACCTTGAAAGCCGTGATCTTAAATACAGTTCCAAGTCGATGGATGTTTCGAGATGGGATATCGAATAATCCATAAAAGACTTGCACATAGTTTGTACGCTTGTTGGACAAGAATGTTGCATTCCATCAACATTAGCGTGAGACGCAAATACATTTATGTGGGTGCTTGTTAGAGAACAAGTTCACTGGACATGACCGTATGAAAATTCTTAATGAAGAATTATTTTAGTTAATAATCTGTCGAATAAGAATTTTCATGTTACAATAGTACATGACTAATCCTAAGACTTGAGGCACAATGGTAACTTTGTGCATATTACATTCTACTTTGATTTATCCTTTTGGTAGCTAGCACTATCGTATAAAGGGATATTTTGGGTATTATGTAAATATGTATGGAAGTTTGTTAGTGGCCAATAAAGGATTCGACACTTATGAAGATAAGTGAATTTCCTATGTATTTCATAGTTATTAATCCAAAGTCCTTGGCCAAGGCAGAGATGAATAGTGATTCATAACCGGGTTAATACACTTTGAAATAGAATCATAGTTATTAAGTCAATTTGGGTTTCGACAAAATCATACCCTAGACTTAATCGGGAAATTAGATGTCGAAAGGATTTTACATGTATGGAGTTGTAATTGAAATAGGTTTACTCGCTATTCACTAAATACTAGATTCATGCTGCTTGCTAGGTGTTACCATGATATGTGGATTCTAGAATTAAAGAGTTAATTCAAGAATAAGAGTTAATTAGATTTAACTCAAATTACAAAGTGTTGTAAACCCACTACTAGTATTAAGGTGAACCTAAAAGGTCACACCTATTATGAACAAAGGTAAAGATTGTATTTCTAATGGTTAGAAATAATTGATAAATATCTAATTTGATTAGATATCAATTAAAGGAATATATATTAATCAATAAGATTGATTAATTACAATTTTGGATATTACTTTAGTAATTAAGGTAATTACTAAATTAATAAAGTTGAATTTTAAAATAGGATTTTAAATTTCAAAAATCCAAAATAATAATAATATGATTATTATAATATTGGGAAAATCATATAATAATAAAGTCTTGAGAAAGATTCTCAAGATTTATTATTCAATTATTATTTATATCTTTAAATATGATTTAAGGATTAAGATAATAAATATGATTATAATAAAATGGTTGTTGATGGTTGTTTGAACTACTTAACATATCTTATTATTTTCAAAGTCAAAAGTTAGTAAATACTATTTAAATAAAATTTGATTTTATTTAAATATTACTAAATGTTGATTATTTTATGCTAAAATGTTTAGTATAAATATGTGCAAAATGGTTTTGCATTTAAGTGAAGTTTTTGATCCTAAATTTCTAAGTGTTAGAAAGAGAAGAAAGTGTTCTTCATAAAACTTCAAGAAAGAGTTCTTAAAATTCCCAAATAAAATTCATAAATATTCCTATACAAGAAAACCGAGTCTTTTCTACTAGCGAAGGAAAGTCGTCGGAACCGGGCTTCATAGGGTGGATACGTTTAGAGGGAAGACACTTGGATTCCTCTAGCGAGTAACCTCAAGTCGTTGAAGTTACAACCGGGAACCGATTCCCTCATCCATCATCAATAGTGAAGGAGTTCAAGACATTCGGTAAATATTTTTACTAGTATTTACTTTATAGTAACAAATCAAAATTTGTATATGATGCATGTTTTAAAGATGACGATCAGTTAATTCGCAATTAGTATGTACGGGTGTTGTATTTATACGATAAATACTTATTTTTAAAATTTTAAATTCCGCTGCGTACAGCCCGTACGGTACTAGCGAACCCAACAGTATGATGGAATGGAATTTCGTAGAAATGGAATGAATTGAAGAATGGAATGATTATGGAAATGGAATGATTATGGAAATGGAATGAAACATGTTTTGTCATTGATGCGTTTGGTATGCAGAAGGAATATGACTAGAATGGAATGACATTATTATTTTTTATTATAAAAATAAATAAAAGCCTTTTTTAAAAAATAATATACTTCTACTAAATTATATATAAATGTTTTTTTAATAATATATAAAAATAAAATAATATATTCTTAATAATATATTTTGAATAATATATAAAAATAGAATAATATATTGTTTAATAATATAAAAAATAATATATTTTTAATAATATATAAAAATAGAATAATATATTGTTTAATAATATAAAGTTTACAATAATATAAAAATAAAATAATAATTTAATTAAACAGTAAATAAAAGTAAGTTTTTAATTTTTTATTTGAATTTTTTTAAAAATAATATATTTTTAATAATATTGAAAAATAAAGTAATATATTTTTCGTAATATATATTTTTAATATTTTTCAATAATATATTTTTAATAATATATTGTTAAAAGTAATATATTTTTAATATATAAAAAATAATATATTTTTAATAATATATAAAAATAAAATATTAATTTTTTAAATTATATATAAATACTCTTTTTAGTTTTATTTTTATATAAGTATTTAATACATCTAATTAAAAAATAAATAAAAGTAAGTTTTCAATTTTTTTATTTAAACTTTTTTTAAAAATAATTTTATTTAATATATTTTAATCATGATTTATAATATATATTATATATTTATTTTTTATTCTTATTTATTAATTTTATTTTTTAAAAAATTGATTCCTACACACATGAGAATGAGAAAACCTTCCATTTACTATGGAATGGCTAATCCCATGGAGATGAGTTTTGTCATTCCTATTGAAATGGTCATTCATCCCTAAAAAATATACCAATCATGGGATTAGAAATGAGCAAGGGAATGATTATTCTATTCCATTGTCATTTCTTCCTACCAATCATGCCATTTGACTTATTTGACACATAGGATCTCGAAACATGTGAGCTTGTCACTTAGACTCAGTACATTCGGGACTTGTATAGGGGGATCTTATCAAAACTGATTATCAATATTTTTGATGTATTACTTCTAAATTATGTATCACGTGACACATAATTTAGAAGTAACACATCAAGAAAATTGCAAACAAGATATTATGTGATACTGGCTATATATCCAATTGTTTTAGAGTATTTTTTAAAATTGTCGAAAATATGAAGTCTCATGACTTCACATTAATTTCCATGTATTGAATTCATTTTGGTTGTTAAAATGTTCCATAGTTTTTCCAATAGTTATGATAATGGTTATGATTAATGCTGAAACCTCTAGTAAATATACTAGTACTCAGATTCTGTGCACATGTACATATGATACAATTGAAATATTATATGTTACATGTATGTGCATTAATATTTTAAATTAAGTTAAATAATGTGATATCATATTTAATAATTTGACCACATTAGAAAAATATAAACTATATAAACTACATATAAATTATTGTATTAATGGTGTTGGAATGTCCCTTGTGAG